CCCTGAATAACTGACCCCAAATTTGCCCTCTGCAGGGCASAGCTGGCTCAGGGCCCCTGACAGGGGGAGCAGGGATGTGGGGCTTCCTCCTGCCCAGTACCTGTGCCCCGCTGAGCCTCCCTGGCAGCACATCCACCCCCCTGCCCAGCTCCATGCTGGAAGGTGCTCTGAGCTCTAAGGATGCAGGAAAAACCCCAGGGTTGGGTGTTCTCTGCCCTCYCTGTGTGCTCAGGAAGCTTTCCTGCCTTTTAGGATTCTTTTGGGCAGGTTTACTGAGCTCTGGGAAATGGGAGTGGAGCTGGGAATGAAAAGCCAGCAGCAGGAATTGGAGGAGTTTTGTGGTTTTTTATATCTTTCTCAGTTGTCTCCTGTCAGGAATAAAAACCATCAGCCTGTGGCTGTCTATGCCTTCCCTCAGCGTTCAGCCAAGAAGTTCAGCACATCAGCTGGTAGGTGAATAGAGAAAACACAGTTCTATGTTAAAAAACAGCCCTCAGTATTTATTGCAACACCAAAACTGTATTCAGCAGCCCTGTCCTGTGGCACACCAGGTACCTTTCATCTGAGCACCCCACAACACSTTTGGGCAGCTGGGGAGACCTGGGGGCAAAAATTCAATGAACATCCAAGACAACTAGGCCACAGACAAAGGAAGGAACCACCCACGTCCCCCACTTGCAGTCCCCTTTGCTGTCCTGACCCTTTGCTGTAGGACCAACAACCCATTTCCTGGTGCTGGCTCCTGGCATGGCAAACCCTCTGAAAAGCCACATTTTCCCCAGCTGGAGACCACCATGTAGCAATAATGTCCATCTCCTCCTGCCCATGGCCTCCAGCTTGCTCGTGTTTCCTTCAGCTCACCCATCCCTTCAGCTCAGCACTGTAAAATTCCAGGGAACCCTGAGCAGTGAAAGGCTGGGAATGTCTCTCTGCCAATGTCAAGTGACACCAGGAAGATCAGAAGGGTCTTTGCTTGCTCTGTAGAGCCCAGCCCAAAGGTCACAAGGTGARCTCTCCAGAAATTTCAGCAGATATTGCAAAGCCTTTTCATCTTCTGGAGYGCTGGCAATGACAGAGAGGACTTCYAAGCCYRYTTGAAAGCAGCTCCAAGGGAAAACCTGCACTGGCTTTGACTGCCAAGGATGACAGGAGATCTTTGCAATGCCTTCCTGGCATCAGGACAGCACAAGATCCAGCCCAGCTCCCTCTGAGAACCAAATTTTGTGCCTAAAATCTGAATGCAAACAGATATTTATTTGACTACTGTTTCTAARCCCATTCATCTTCCCCTCCTCACAGCCCTGGAACAAAACAACCGAGACTCTTTTCATGTTCAGGAGGAAAGGTACCCCAGTGAAGTGTGTAATCCAATTAATTTGAGTTTTATTTGACCATGTCAAAATCCATCACGGCTTGGGAGTCAGATGGAATTGGGAAATGAGCATCAAACAGCAGTGAAAGCATTAACAGTTGCAGAGCCTTTTGCTTTTAAAGTGATCAGCAATATCAGCTGCACCTCCACTGAGAGGGGCAGAGGATGGGCTGCAAACAGGGTTTGATTCCTGCTGGAGGTGAGCCAGGGATAAAAATTTGGGTTACAAAACATCCCGGATAAATGGTACATTATTACCATGGCAGAGCTACTCCCACAAATCCACCTGGGCTGACATTTGACTCAATGCTGTTCATGAAAGGCGATTCCACRGTTGTGATCCCGAGAGCTCTGACCAACAGCTCTTGGGCTCGCAGCTCCTGTGCCACGTTCCCTCCTCAGCTGCCTGGCCAGGCACAACTCACCCACAGCCAAATTTCCTTCCATCTCTGAATGAAACAACTCTGAATGAAATGGGGCTGAAGTGTGTTAAAACACAAACCCTCATGTTTTTTTAAGGGACCGCCTCCCAAGTTCTTGTAAAGCAGCAGGAAGAACTTGTGTCTCCCTATAAACTCCCTTCTCCTCATAAACAGGGGGGCATTCTGGGGCTCTGCAATTGGAGACTGAGAGAGCAGCCACAAAATAGCTTCAGATGTGGAATGTTCCCTTCTCAGCCACCTCCTGCACTGACCCAGACCTGCTGGGCTCAAGGGCTGCATTTTGTTCCACTGCTCCTAGACACCCCAGAGCAGACGATTTTCTGCTTCATTTGAGAAGACCTGGACACAGAATTTGCTCCAGCAGCTTCCCAACCCCCAGCTGAGCAAGAGGAAGAGTGAAACCAGAGTGACCTGGTCAGGTGGGAATATCTGTGTCCCCTGGAAGGGGACAGAGACACCCTGAAACAGCACAGACAGGTGCCAAGGACACAGTGAAACCTGCCCAGCCAGAGCAGCAAAGCAGCTCAGGGCACACTTTGAGAGCGGCCAGCTCTGCCAAATCCCTTCCCCTCTCAATTCCCTCTCTCCTCTCCTTCCTCCTCACTTCCCTGCTCTGTTCTCCTCCCTCAGGAAGGGCTTTACTGGCAGCAGGCTCTGGGTTCTGCCTCACAAACCCCTTTCCCCTACCAGCACTGATGTGCTGGGCACACAATCAGCCCCTCAGGCTGCCCAGGGAATCACCATCCCTGCAAGTGCTAAAAAATGTGTGGCTGTGGCACTTCGGGACATGATTTAGCTGTGCTGGGTTGATGCTTGGACTTGATCTTGGAGTTCTTTTCCAACAGTGATGATTCTGTGAAAACAGTTTAACTTTAACTCGTGTGTGCTTTGCACAATTAAATCTTCGAGAGGTAAGAAAACAGCCCTCAGGAGTGAAAGTTGCATTCTTTTCTCTGACTTTTCCCTAAAAATCATCAGTGTTAGCACRAGGAGTAGCTCTGAGCTGGCTCTGGACCATGAACCCGATCACTCATTTTTAAGTGGCAGGGAAAGGGAGAGACCCCAGCAGAAGCAGCCCCAGCAGTGGGGAGCAGCAGCTCAGCTTCTGGCCAAGCTCTCAGGTTTCTGACTGAGGGATAAATTCCCCCATTACAGCCTTGATTTGTTGAGACAGGATGGAAATGAAGTAATCCTGCCCTAATTTTTTTTCTGCTACTTGATCTGGAGGGAGAAAAATGGGACCATTTCTTTTCCCACAGCACAGGGAAACTGTGAGAAAATATCTGTCTCCCCACTTTTGGCTTCTGCCTGTGGATAAATATTGCCAACAGGAACTTGTTGCAATTAATAAAGGCACAGGCATTCGCCGTGCTCAGACAGAACCAAACTCTGGGTAACAACAATAACCTGATACAGCTCTCACATCTCTTTCCCAGGAATCTGCTTCCCTCTGCTGTCAGCAGCTGGAATCTTGTGGTTATMGTTTTCAGATGGGCTCCTTTCAAAATAAGTAAATAGATTTTTTAAAAATCYAAACSGAATTTACAAGGCTGAGTTTAACTTGTGGCAGAGAATCAGCTTCCCGACAGCCTGTTGGAGGTAGAATCAGCCAAAACAGAGGCAAAATGGTAAATTTTGAAACCAAATAATCTTAATATTGCCATAACACTGCCATGGCCACATAGGTAACTTGTACTTGCCCTTGGATTTGTATTAAGAAAAATGGTCACAAAGTTTTGGGCTGCTCCTTCTGCAAACCAAGAAATGCACAGGCAYGGAGGGAGGAATGCCCAGGGCTGTAAATGGAACAGGCACCATCTCCTCACTGTTCTCAGCTCCATGGGGCTGCAGAGACAATAATTATCCACCCATTTATCCTCTTCTCATTTGGGGGCAAGGCTGAGTTCACCCTTCTCACACATCAGCTGGGGAAGCTGTGCAATCAGAGCCTTTATTCACTTTTAATTCATCCACTACTTTGCAAGAAAGAGTTTAATTTAAAGGRTTTTTGGAGGGAGGGGGCAGCAGCAGCACCCAAACCAACCTTAAGGATCACTTGGAATAAAAGGCTGAAGGCAGAATGACATAATTTGGGGTGACCCTGTGAGGAGAGAGGCGACTGAAATGCAAAATTTCCCTGTCCTGAGGCTGACAAATGCAGCTGATGTGGGTTTTGTGAAAACCTTTGTGTTGAACCTCGATTGTTCATCCTGCCCATACACCCAAAGTAACTGAATAGGAAAAGGAGCTGTTAAAATTCTCCCTAAATTAAAAATACATCTGTTCACTTTCAGGAAAGGGAGTCTGCAGAGCAGAGTGGGTGGAAGGGAAAAAGCTGGAGATAACAGTCTCAAACTCAACAATCCCTGGCTGTGACTGAGACAGCTGAGCTCTGAGGCTGGGCAGGAGCAGGGAAACTGGGGAGAGGCAGAGCTGAGGTCTGGGAGAATGGGGGAGACCCCACAGAGGCAGAGCTGAGGTCTGGGGGAGTGGGGAGACCCCACAGAGGCAGAACTGAGGTCTGGGGGAGTGGAGAAGGGAGACCCCACAGAATTGGGGCTCCAGAGATGCCCAGCTGAGCTCTGCTGCCTCATCCTCCCATACCAATTACACAGGATTGGGTATGGAAAATCAAACCCAAATCTGAGCATTCCAACCCAGTGCAGGCTGTGCCTTTCCCACAGAGCCTTTTCTTGTCCTGCACAGCACAAATCACAAACATACATTTTAAAAATCAGCATAGGTCCAAAGAAATGCTGTTAGAGGGAARGGATAAATCACAGTGTCAGTCTGGACTTTCCAGTCCCTATTCCTGTGGTTGGTGTGGATGGGGGATGATGTGGATGCACCACAGGTGGAGGATGTGCAGGGGCAGGAAAAGGGACACATTTAACAGATGTCCCTGTTCGAATTGCAGAGCTGCAYATCTTTGGTCCTCACTGATCCCTGAGCTACCCTGACACTCCAGAAGTGCTGTAGGGGCACCAAGAGAGCTCCAGCCCCACAGCTTTGGTGCACCAAATCCACCACTCTGGATTTCTCTGCCCCTTGTCTCTCAGGTGATGCTGCCTGAGCTCTGTCATTTCCCTGGGACCCTCTTCCCAGAGCCACTCCTGATGGAAGCTTAAAGGACACCAAGGTGCCTCCCCAAAGCTGTGCTGAGCCTAAAAAAMCAGGCACAGGGAACAAAATCCCCCAAACTGTGCTGTCACTGACTTTTTTTAGGAGAGCAATGACTTTAATCTTCATTTTGGAGATGTGAACCCCCTGTAGCTTCCAAGATGTTTCATCTCAAACAGGAACTTCCAGGAGACCCACCCGATGGAGGCAGATTGTCCAGCAGAGCCTGGAGAGGAGCTGGGAGCAGAGCTGAGCTGCTCTGTGTCCCCACTCTGCTGATGCCCCAGGAAAACCCAGGAACTGAGGAGGGCACTTACTTTCTTTCTCAGCTGTGGGCTGGAGCGAGTAGAGCACTCCTTGCTGGAAGGTGAGAGGGAGGCTTGGGGTGGCTGGTGGCCCTGGAGGACCTGGGGGACCCGGGATCCCGGTTTCTCCTGGAAGTCCTCTTGGTCCCTGGGGTCCCAGCAGTCCTGTGCASAGGCAGAGAGGAAGGGTCAGCACCTTTGGGGCACTGTGGTGTTATCATGTAAAAAGGCGGTGACAAGACAAAGGATTTCTGTCCTGGAGTGCAATTGTAGGAATTAGAGGGGTGGGAGAAAACAGAAACAGCTTCCCAATTTTCTATTTTTTTTTTTTTTTTTTTTTTTTTTTTGTTCAGCATCTCCCTGTGCAAAGCAGAGAGCCTGACTTGGCTCAGAGTCACTGCCTGGGATCAGCCTGGCTCCTGGAGGAGCGAAACCTCCCCTCTCCCCGAGGCTGAGCGAGGAACTCCAGGCTGCAAGGTGTGAAACCACATCCTTCCCTTCCCCTCCAGGTGTCATCTGCCTGCCAGGAAAGCTCAGAAAGCACCACAGGAGCAGACTGACCCTGCTTCCTGCAGGGCTGGACGGCTCTCACTGCCAGCTGAGGAGCCAAAACAGGCACACACAGCCTTGGCCAGACTGGGACCACTGACAGCATGCCAGAAAGTGCCAAAAAGTGMCAGAAAAATGCCAAAAAGTGTTCAGGGCTGCTCTCACACTGAAGATAAGCTCCAAGGTTTAAATCTTGCCTGAGCTCAGAGTCTTTCAGAGGCAGAGAACACAGAGCCCAAGGTCTGGCACCCATTGTGCAGCATCGCCTTCATCAAAACATTCCAGGCCGTTCTGGGGATGGAGAAAGACTCTGAGCTCAGGRATGGAGTGTTCCCTGAAAGAATGGCCTCATAACCTTTTCCCTTAACACACAAAAGCATCATTAGCTTGACATCCTGGCATCTGACAGCTTGACACAAAGAGGGGAGAAGAAAGGGAGTTACAGCAGGCGCCCAGCGAGAGGGTTAAACCAGGAACGCTCTGCTCTGAGGGCTGAGGGGTCACAGGCTGCTCACAGCTCCTGAGCAGCACAGGAAACCTGATCCTGCTCTGGGACAGGCTCTCTGCAGCTCCACAGGAAATCCCAGGCTCTCACTGCTCCTGCAGGTGTTTGCCTGCCCAGGGAACTCCTGGCTGATTCCAGCTCCCAGGGACTCGGGGAATGGATCCGATACCAACCCAGGATGCTCAGTCTGGTGTGTCTGGGCTGTTCTGAGCTGCTGTCARAGCCAATTTGTGTGAAGTGAAACATCTCCTGTCCCAGCAGCACTGCCCCTCTCCAGCACTCACCTGGTGGCCCTGCTGGGCCCCTCTCCCCAGGCTGTCCCTTCTCTCCTTTGGGCCCTGGTGGTCCTGGAAGCCCAGTTGGTCCAACTGGGCCAGGGGGGCCAACCTGCCCTGGAATCCCTGAAAACGTTCAGAAAGGTAATTAGTTGGAAGTTATGACACTGCTGAGGTCAGAAAGGCTCCAAACCAGAGGAGGGGGACTCAGGGGTGCAAAGGGGRTGAAATGCAGCAKRRCACAGCCAGGGTGGCACTGGKGGCAGGRCACATGAACCACCCTGGGMTTTGCTTCTCCTCTTCTTCCTCCAGCCCTGGAGGAGCAAAACACATCCCCATGCACAAGGGCTTTCCCAAAAAGCCAGCAGGATGTGCAGCTCTGGCTGGGATGAGCTGGGCAGAGCCACACTGAGCCCTCACCGAGCCCTTCCCGAGGCTGTAATGGCTCTGGGCAGGGTCTGGGTGTCCTTTGCTGGGTTCATCCAGACACAAAAAAACCCCAGGGTCAGCCCAGTGCACCAAAACACACAAAATGGATTTGCCAAAGCACATCAAACCCTGTCTCCCCTCTGCTCTACACATGACCCAGAGGCTGGGTATCAGTGATGTTTCCCTGGTTTCTCCTGTGTTCATCCATCTGTGAACAAGCTTTTGTCATCCCAAAGTGAACTGATGCTCCCCCTCTTCGGAAGGTATTGGGTGTCAGTAATTTTTATCAATGAGCAGGGAGCTGAGCAGGGTTCCTGCAAACACCAGGACACTTCATGCCAAGCCCACTCAGACCCTCAGTCAGCCCACAGAAGGTGCACAGGCAGCATTTGTCATCTCAAAGTGACTCCTTTTGATGACACTAAATAAAATCTTAATGCTGCTTTCCCCAGATTACCAAAATTATAACAATTCCTGGCAATTTTATGGTGTTTTTCAGAAAAACACTGCACATCTCAGGCTCCCATGGAGGGACATTTAAGCACTGGAGCTTTGATGCCTCGGAGGTGTGGGTAAGTGGCTCTGTCTGCTCGGATTGAGTGGTTAATGGTTACAATAAAGACATTAACTCTCGGAGCTCTCAAGAGAGCCAGAGGTTCCTGATTTCTGGGCCACCAAAGGGCTCAGAGTGTTTGAAAGCAGTGGCAGATGCAAGCTCCAAAGCCAGAGGGAGAYGGGGATGAGTCCAAAGTTCAGCACACTCAGATTTCACATTTTAGTTGGTGTATTACATCTGACCACCACCCAGCAGAGCAATTTAAGATTTGATCAGCTCTTCAGGAGGGTCTTTCTCCTTTTCAGGAATCAGGAGAGGTACTGGGCCACCCAAAACCAGTGCCAGGAGAAGATGGTATATATGGGGGTGGAGGGCATGGATGGGAATGGAGGGAAAGGAGGAGGAAAGGAAAGAAGCTGGACAAGGGAACAGGGCTGCACAATCAAATCAAGGCTCACAGCATTTGCAGTTCCCACATTTGGATCCAGTTCCCATTCCAGATGTGGGACAGCCCACYGGGGGTACAAAACCCCATCAGCCCAGACATTCACCCAAACTGCTCATTTCTCAGAACAAAGCAATAATTCCCCAATATTCGACCCTCTGGAATGGCTCCCCTTCCTCTCTTCTTTTTTCTCAGTTTGGAGAGATGTTCAAATTATTCTTTCTCACAGAAATGAACTCTCTCCCTCTCTAACCCATGGTAAAAACAGGCAGACTGAAGAAATGAGGTTTGTCAATGGTTTTGTGTGGAGGTGTGTGCCTGCACTTTTGCTGTTTTCAGCCATCAATAAAGACCTGATTTAATTTGAGTATTGAATGAGGAATTAAGGCCAGGTTTTAATTTGGATCAATTTGCTTATCCACAGGACACAAAGTGCAGCTTTTTCAGTGGTTAAAGGGCTCCTTTAATGGATCTCCCCTGGCAGGGGATGCTGTCCTATTCCAGGTGATCAGGAGCTCTTTCAGGAAAGCCAAAGTATTTGTTCACAGCTTCTCCCCCTAAAAAAAAAAACCCACCAGAAACTTTACAGCAAATTTCTTCCAGCACAGGGGGAAGAACAGCAGGAACTGTTCTGCAAGCACCACACGCTGTGCTGCTGGGTGTGGGTCAGAACATCCCCCCACTCCAGTAAATCACCCTCAATCCTCCAGCCCAGCCTCGTAACTCAGTCCTGTGAGGTCCTGCARACCAGGAGCAATCRTTTCCTGCAGCATCCTCAATCACAYTGCTGCAGCAGAGCTTKAGAGGAGCTGGCACTTCCTCCCCTGGAGGGGGAAAGTGCTGAAGGAGAGGCTGGGAGAAGCAGCCCTGGGTAATGTGTCAAGCAAGTGCTCATTCTGGTGACAAATGGTGTTACCAGCTTCGGAGAGACAAGTGCAAAAGGGRGCAGGAAGAGGGAAGGATTCAGGGAAAAAGGGGGAGGCCAAATTTTCATCTGGCATAAATCAGCTCTGCTGCGGTGGCGTTGCTTCCAGAGAGCTGAAGCCCACAGTGAGCGTTTATCCTCAAAAAAAAACAACAAAAGAACCACAGGAAAAAAAAAAAATTAAAAGGCAGAGGGTGAGTTATCTCCTGCTGGAAATCAAAGATGTGCAGAGATATAGATTTTTTTCCTGACTCTGCCACTAACCTGCAGCACACCATCTGCTCCCCTTCCCTCCCCAGGGCTCCCCTGCACAGGAATGGGGCTGCTCTGTTTGTGTGGAGCTTGGGAAGGGATGCCCTGAGCATCCCCAGAGGTTCCTGTGCCCCTGGCAGGTAATTCCAGCCAGAGGAGAGTTCTCTCCCATCCCTCAGGACATGCYCTGCTGGCTGTGGCCACCTCTGCTCCCAGGACCTGCCTCTCCATCGGGCAGTGCTGTCCATCCCTCCTGTGCTGGGAAATGAATGGCTCAGGGATGATAAAACTGGCGTTTGGCCTCTCCAGATCAGTAAACCCCAAAGGACAAACTTTGAGTCTCTGGGGCTCCAAAGAGTTCCTGGCCATGGGAGCCTTCTGCTGTTTTTGGGACAGAAATACAGGGCTGGATATAACAAGAGTTTGTGTTTTGAAAGAGAAATTGCAGAAATTATGAACTTACCCTGTGGTATCAGCTGCTCCTCTGCACCTCTGGGTCCTTTAGGTTCTGTTTAAGAAGGACAGAGTTTAAAAAAGAAACAACCACAAAAAACATGGAGTAAAAAAGAAAGATATGAAAAATTAGGTCTCTTGCTGCCAACTGGCTCAGCCAGATTATATATATTTTCTTAATACTCAGAAAAATGTATTCTGTTGATTAAGAAGCTGATCAGAAAGGCCAGTGGTGCAGCTGTCTCAACAGCACTGATTGCTTTTAAATGATTGTCTGTTCTCAGCCCCGTCACTCACACAAGAAATAAYCACCCTCAGGAACAGTAGCAAGTTTTTCTGGAGCTCAGCCTGGAGAGCAAAACCAGAGCTCCAAGGTCATCCAGAAACACTCCCAGAACTCACAGCATCCTGTCCTTCTCACCCTGCTCTGGGTCAGGCCCCAGCAGCCTGCCCTCAGTCCATCCAGCTTGGGGACACACAAGGTAGGGCTGGGATTATTTTGGGATTATTGATTTTGGCTGAACACCCAGAAGCAGGGMAAGGTAGGGAATGTTTCACAAAAGGCTCTGAAAAAGGGGTGGCAGGGACAGAGGYTTAAGTTTCCACAGCCCCAAATCACTCAGGACATTCAGGTCTGGCTTCCACCTACTCCAATATCCCAAGTGTTGAAAAGATCTCCTGAGATCTCTGTGAGAGAGCCTGGAAGAAACTTTGAGCAACAAGGCACAGCAAAGAGCTGAAATCATGAAAAATGGGCAGTGTCCCTGTTGCCTTTTTCAACCTAAAAATAAATCTCAAGATAATTCTAGTATAGGAGGTAATACAAAAGTGGGTCTTTATTGGAGCTCCAGGGGCAGTCGTGGAAGAACACCCTCAAAAGCCCCTCCACAGGGGTGAGRGCAGTTTGATAGGTTTCAGGAAATTAGTATAATTAATAAAAAGCACAAATTAGGAGGTGGTTGGCTCAGACACTTTGTTGTGTTTCACGAGAACGTAAACCCATAACAAACCAATGGTTTAAAACCCCTGGATTTTTGCAATAAAGCAACCCCTCTTTCCACCTTTCTCATCATTACACATCACCACAAGCGAGGAGCCTCCACAAGGAGAGGATTTGAAGGCTCAGAGTCCCCAGCATTCTGCTGGGCTGCCTTTGGTGCAGCAAGGGGCAGGTGCTGARACACTGCCACAGCAAAATGGCACAGAAAAGGCAGAATGGGCACAGGAAACGAGGGGAAAGTGCTCTCCTTCAGCTCCTGGCAGCCATGGCCGTGGTGCTGAGAACAYTTTGCAGAACACTTTGTTAGTGAACCTCCCTCCACGCTGTGGCATCACGTCAAATCAAAACAGGGACCACATCTGGGCTGAGCTGGTGGCTCCATCAGGAAGAGCTGCCATAATAAACTGCCCAGGATGAAAAAAATGAAAAGGAGAAAAAAAAGAAGAAGGAAAAAAGCAAAGTAAGCACTAAAGAGAATAAAGAACTGGTCCAGGAGCAAGCACAGCTACAGACAGAGAGGGCTTTGGAAGCAGAGAGCAGGGATCTTGGAAAAAGATGCCAAGGTCAAGGAAATTCAGCATGTGGGGATCTGTCTGGCCAAGTGGGCTCTGAGGGAGACTTTCTTAAAAGTGTATTTTTTTTCCATGCCACAAGAGGGACCATAAAACAGCCAATTGTTTTTATGGCAAATTTAGAAAATATAAAGCAGATTGCAACTGATGCTGCTATTCATGGGAAAGTTTTTTGTCCCAATAAAAGCAAAATCATCTGTGCATCCCATTCCTCTACTCCCCAGCACTGSTCCCAGACTGGGAAACGCTGTAGGGGAGTAGGAACTGTCCCATTGTGAACTTGATGGCTCTCAGGAGTGTTTGGATGTGWCCAGGCCCCAAAACCCACAACCTCTGGCCTTAAAAGAAGCCCACYGAAACTGGCAGGCAGGCACAGTGGCCCCACTGGAGTTAACAGAACTCAAACAGACCCAAATTCAGCTCCCAGCAGATTTCTGTTTGTGCTAACAGAAATCGTGGCTGCCCCATGAGCTCCATGGATCAGCTCCTGAGCTTTGTCTTCTTCCAAGGACATCCCTGCTCTGCTCTGGTTGAGCTCAGGGAAAAAGTTACTTGAAGAAATTACTTAAAGAAATTACTTATTTCTTTTGGGTTTTTGAGGGGTTTTTTGGGGTTTTTATTTTTCTTTTTTTTTCTTTTCTTCCTCTCCCTTTCCTCTCTCTGTCTTTCCCAGGTTACACTACCGGCATTGACAAGTCCTGAAGACTTCGCAACAACACTACAGAATCGTGCTAAGTGATCTTGACGACAATCATGAGACACGGGGTGGTGTAAGAGACCATACAGAAGTCCCTCGATTGTCTCACAATCATCAAGATGGACAGAGACTGAACACCCCAAAAACCCCAAGGGGGAGAAGGAGGAACTTTTGCTCAAAGGAGTCCGAGCCAGATCAAGGTGGGATGTCTGCCAAGTGCCAGTTCCCAGGCTGCTGAGTACAACGTGTAAGCTACGGACGGTTGCACTGTTCTGGGTGTGAAGGCGGAGGAGAACTGCGTGGTTTGTACTGTACACGTTACAAAACAATGGACATTCTTTCCCTACCTCTTGGCTGGTTTTCTTCTGTTTCAGAACCCCTTGGCCTGCTGCCATATACTTTCAAAAAGACTATAAAGAGTCTCTCTGAAAAGACGCTGACGAGATTTCCCCAACGGACTTAGACAAATTAATGGAACCGGACCTCAAGGACTTCGTCTGAGCCATTGGTAGCTATAACCCCACTCTCTCTCTCAGTTTCTCTCTTTTTCTTCCTCTCACCCTCCTCTATCACGTAAATCCAATAAAATTGCTCATGATTTTGAATACATACTTGTCCCTTGTTTCTTTTGCACTCTGAGATTCAGATAACGAACCATCATGACTTCTGCTTGAATTAAGCGGATCGTGACAACCTCCCAACCCTCTTCTCTGCAGCCTCCAAGGCTGGAGCACAGCCMGGCTCCTCTTTAGCTACCCCAGAAGGATTGTGTCAGTGGGATGGGAGGTTTGGTGAAGAGCAGGTCAGGCTTACCAGCAGAGCCCAGGGTTTTCCTCAGGACGGTGCCGGGGTTCAGCAGGGGAAAGGCGTCCGGCAGCAGCTCCCCGTACCACGGCGCCGGCGTGCCAGCCATGGGCAGGCTGTTCTCCAGCGCTGGGCTCCGCTCCGCCGCCTCCAGCAGCAGCATCTGAGGGGGACAGAGCAGGGATAACACAGGCAAGGTCAACTGGGTCCCACAGCAGCGTGCTCACAACCTGTGTTGGTTTTGTTTGGCCCAGATTTTGGTATTGGGGAGGCCACAAAGATGGCTCCTGTRAGAAGCTTCTGGAAGCTTCCACCGTGTCCAGTGGAACCAATCTCTGATGGCTCTAAGGATGATGGACATGCCACTGACCAAATCTGGGCCAACTGGAGATGGTGGTTATGCCTCTGTGAAAACATTTAAGAAGAAATCAAAATAATGGGGGCACAGAGTTGTTTTAGCCAGAGAAGGAGGAGGTGAGAATATGTGAGGGATGCAGACACCAAGGT